GGGGGGATGTGGTGTGTCTGAGCACTGTGTGTGTGCATGTGGGGGGGATGTGGTGTGTCTGAGAACTGTGTGTGTGCATGTGGAAGCAGAGGTTGACATCTGCTGTCTTTCTCTATTGATCTTCACTTTTTTTTTCTTTTTTGTTTTTTTGAGACAGGGTTTCTCTGTGTAGCCCAGACTATACTGGAACTCATGCTGTAGACCAGGCTGGCCTTGAACTCAGAAATCCGCCTGCCTCTGCCTCCCAAGTGCTGGAATTAAAGATGTGCACCACCACCGCCCGGGCTCACTTTTTTTTTTTTTTTTTTTTTTTTTTTTTGAGACAGAATCTCACTGATTTGAAGCTCGTCAGTCTGGCCAGTGCTAAGACACCCTCCTTCCCCAGTGCTGGGCACAGATGGGAGCTTGGGGATTGGAAATGGTCCTCAAGTTTTGTGCCACTTTACCAATTGAGCCATCCCCCCACCTCCTTGCTACTTTCTGGGAAAGAAGGCAGACTGCTAGACTGCACAGCAGAGGCTTCTAGTAAAGTGACTGGTTTTGCTTTGTAGGTGGCTTCTCTTGAGAGGAGATGATCCGTGTTTGGTGACTAACTGATACTCAGCACACCTACCAGATTAACCTGGTCCAGTAGCTGGGGCCTGGCATGCCGGGATGTGTCTGGAATGCTTTCTGGACTCTGTCCCTGCTCATGCCTTTGTTATTCTGGTGTCTCTCTTAACTTCAGCCAGTTTTCATCCTGTTTTAACCTTTGCCCCTCAGGTTGTATTTGCTGTGTTAAGGAGTTGCTTTTGAAGCAGCTCAAGGGTCTTTGTTCATCTTTTCAGCAGGTTCCTGAGGACTGCTGTCTAAGTCAAGGTTAATGCAGGAACTACTACCAGTGGCTGCATTCTCCAACCCGGATGCAAATTTAGAGCACTATATGCTCTTACACCTTGTCTGTAGAGAGGCCATCACCCAGTATTTTCTTTGCCACCTGGGAAAAGTGGACTAGACTCAGAGAGCCTAGAACTTTCTCTGGGTGTTATCTAGGGGTGTTGGTGGGAACAGATGTAACACTGAGGGAGGTGGCGTTTGTTCTCTTTTCAGGCTGGAATCATAGAGGAGATGTTAGAGGATACGTTTGAAAGCATGGATGATCAGGAAGAAATGGAAGAGGCAGCGGAAACGGAGATTGACAGAATCCTCTTTGAAATCACAGCAGGTATGAGCAGGAGAGCCCTCCAACTCTTCCCTGTCACCCTTTTCTCCCCCAGTCAGTCAACACTGGCTGCATCTGCATTTGGAGTCGACAAGGTATTTCTTAAGGAATAAGTACAGTAAAGCTATATAACTAGTTTTCAAGAAACGAAGGATTTTTAGTTTCTAATTTTCACAATGAAAAGAGCTGTTAGGAATTTGAGTTAATATAGACCTGACATTACTGTAAAACATGTCTATGTTAAATTTAGAAATAAAAAGTTTTAACTTGCCGGGCGGTGGTGGCGCACTCCTTTAATCCCTGTAGCCTGGTCTACAGAGTGAGTTCCAGGACAGCCAGGGCTACACAGAGAAACCCTGTCTCACCCCCCATCCCCCACCCCCCGGCAAAAAAAAAAGTTTCAACTTCTGTTGCTAATTTTTAGTTTTCTGAATTTTATGCTCCAGAAAATAGTGAAATTTAATTTTTATTTGTTTTAAATTATTGGGAGACAGAAGGTAATTGAAAATATATTTTGTTAAAATTTGAAACTAGTTTGAGGTTTTGTGTTTATTGGGTGTGTTTTGGTGTTTGAAGTGTTTGGATTTCTAGTCCACTACTGTGGTTATAAAGTCGTCGTCCACTGCTGTATAAGCACTGTTGTGATTAACACTGATTGGGGGTTGCGCGCACCTCAGGTCAGTTAGTGCCCACATAAAAGACACACAGCTTTACATTTACAACAAACCCGAACAGTCCTCGAGCTGCGCAGGGGCCGACCCTCGGTGCTACTTTGTCTGCTTCCCTGTCAGAGCTCATCCTCAGGTCAGTTAGTGCCCACATAAAAGACACACAGCTTTACATTTATAACAAACCCAAACAGTCCTCGAGCTGCGCAGGGGCCGACCCTCGGTGCTACTTTGTCTGCTTCCCTGTCAGAGCCGATCCTAATCCATCTAGCCAGCCTCAAGGCCAGTTCTAGCCCCTTACCCCGTGGTGTCTTCCTCTTTCCTCACTCTCTGCTCCTCCTCTTGTGGCCTCTCCTTAGACCCCAAGTCCTGGGCACCGAAGCCCCATCTACCTTCATTCTGCCCAGTTATAGGCTGTATGCATTTTTATTCAACCAATAGTTTTAAATTAAGGAGCGAGGTTACATAGTATCACTTGGTATACACAAGGATTCTCTCGTCTCTGAGGAGGCCAGTATTTAGCATTACTGTACATAGCAACACACCAAGCCTCAAATGTCTACAGTGGTCTCAGACACTCCTCTTGCCTCACTAGATTACAGGTGTCCACCCCCTCCCCCCAATCTGGCTAACAGTGTGGTTGTTTGGCTTTTTTATTTCCTGTGGCACTGGGGGTTGAGCCTGAGGCCTCACACACATGAAACAGGCACACGCTACTGCTGAGCTCGATTCTCAGCCTTTTATTTTGAGAAAGGGCTCATTAAGTTGTTGATGCCGACCTCTCTGTAGTTTGAGTAAACCTTGATTTCTATCCTCCTGTCTCAGCTTCCCAGTTAGCTGAGATTATAGGCCTGTGCCACCCAGTCTGGCTTCAACATTTAAACTTTATTCAGAGAAAATAAATTTAGGTTTTCGGTAGTATTCAAGAATTTAAATTAAGAACTTCAGAATTAATGACTTTTTTTTTGAGATAAGATCTCACTATTTTGCACAAGATGGCCCCAAAATCCTGAGCTAAAGTAACCCTTCTTCTCCAAGTATGTGGACTCAAGTACACACCACCATGCCAAGTAGTCTAGAAATGAAAATTTTTATGATTTTATGATATTCATCTTTTATGAATAAAGATGACATGGATGTGTTATTACTGTTGTAATAGTAGCTAGTTGGAAGACTGAGGCAGGAGGATCACTCAAGGGCAGCATAGCAAGTCCGTCCCCCCCATCCCGCTGTTGTCTTTCTCTCAGCTGAGATGTGCATTGTCAGAGGAAGCAGAGCCCCACTCTAGATAGCAGCTCCATTGCCTTGGTACAGGTGTGAGTGGAGGTCATAAAGCCACGGGCCTTGTTCCGTATGCAGTGGGTTTTAAGCTGTTCACTCTCCCTTTAGGAGCCTTGGGCAAAGCACCCAGTAAAGTAACTGATGCCCTTCCTGAGCCTGAACCTGCAGGAGCGATGGCTGCCTCAGAAGAGGGAGAAGAGGAGGAGGATGAAGAGGACCTGGAGGCTATGCAGTCACGGCTGGCCACACTCAGAAGCTAGGGCCACCCAATTGGGAGCTTAGCTCTCTGGCATCCTCCTCTAGGTGTGTATATGGCCTCTGAGGAGTCACCATTTCCTGTATCTCTTGCACTACACCTCTGTTGTGAAGCATTACATTTGGAGAGGGTTCTATGCTGGTATATCTTCACTGTCTGCAGAGGATTTAAGGATTGTTTTTATGAAGGCGGTGTAATCAAATGTATTATTTTCAGGAGCATACATAGCAGCAGTATCTTCCTGGGGGAGGGCAAAGAATCCCATTTTCTCATGAAACAACTCTAAGAAGAGTAGATTGAATGCCAAGGACTTTATATTTGGTGTGTATGTGTAAAATACTATATAAGTGGATGTCAATAAACTTCTGCTTTAGCTCTTGGTCTCATTGTAAATGTCACATGCAATGAACTCAAGGTATTGATCTCCCAGATTGTCTCAGTGTTGGCTCTGGAAAGAGGAAGTGCCGTCTCCATGCATCGGGACATGGGAGCTTAGCAGAAGTGCCTTCTGCTCAGGAGCTGCTGGTCCTGGTCTTCACGGGCCGGTGAAGGGTTGTGGGGGCCACTCTTGTGCATTTGTCATTTGTTTAACCGATGAGTGTTGTTACTGTGCCGTGTTGGCTGAATGACCATATCATACACTGGTGTGTACGTGGGGATCTGTAGCTGTTAGTCACTCTTCCCCCCCTGCAAGTGACGTGCAGAACAGTCAGCTCTGGGTCAGGCCTTACATTCCGTCCCTTCTTGGAGCTAAATGTCTTGTGCACAGGGACATAGCCTTAACCATGAACACTGAGAGCTAACCAGTCAGAGGTTTGGATTAGGCATCGAAACATACGCACCAGGACATGCTTTAGATGCATTGAGAAATAACCCAACAGTAGAACTGTGTCTGACAGTTTGAGAAGCTTTCTGTTATGCATGGTCTCCTGTAGTCTTCACAAATGAGAACAGCTGTTATCTGAAGTCTAAAATACAACAGCCAGTGTCCACCAGTATTGTACAGAATGGCTTCGTTACCCCAAAACAACCCCATGTGCTGTCCACTGCTTCCTCTCTAATCCCTTGACATCCACTGGCCTGGTTACTGTCTCCATGGGTTTTCCTTTTCCAGCCTTTTAGTGTGTCTTCCCTCATGTAGTGATAAAGATTTAAGTTCCTCCATGGATTCATGACTTGATTGTTCAGCTTCTGAGTTTGGAAGTTTGAAGCAATGTCTGCAGCAGTTTTCCCCGTGTGTTTTTAATTCCTCTGGATACCAGAGAGCTCAACCATGGGATCGTGTGGTCAGCACAAGCCTGAGTTGTAAGAGGTAAACCAGCTGTGCAGAGCACATACTGTCCACCTCCCAGGAGGAAGCATTCTGCTGTTCTGTGCCCTTGGCACAATTTGTCATGAGGGATTTCTGTTGAAGTACACTGGGCATCTGTTTTTATACCTGCCTTCTCTGTATCTTGTTTGAAAATGTTGAAATAGTGGCCTTGAACTCATGACCTGTTTGCTCTACTACCACACCGAGCTTGCCACCTGTACTTCTCCATTGTTGGTGTTTGTTCATTTTATAAACTGGATTGTTTTCTCATTATTCAGTTTTAAGGTCCTTTTTTGGACCAATTATCTATCCGATTTTCTCCTAGTCTCTGTTCTGTTCTCTCATTGTTGACAGTTTTTCAAAGCTGAAGTTTTTTTCTACTTTTAATAAAACCCTGCTTCTCAATTATTTTGTATATTATGCCTTTGGTGTTAAAAATAAAGTATGGGGGCTGGAGAGATGGCTCAGCAGTTAAAAGCACTGGGTGCTTTTCTAAAGGTCCTGAGTTCACTTCCCAGCACCCACATGTCTATAACTCCAATTCCAGGGAATCTGACCCCCTCAAACACCAATGCACATAAAATAAAAATAAATAAATTATAAAAGTATTAGGGATAGGTGGTGTAGCTCAGTTGAATACTGGCCTGGCATGCACAAGGTCCTGGATTCAGTCTTCAGGTACACACACACACACACACACACGCACACACACCACAGGCACACACAAGCACTGCTCATTCATGCACACACACACGCCCCCTAATCCAGGGTCATTTAAAATCTCTTTGTTACCTAGTCATTTATCTTGTTCAGTTCCATCTCTATTGTGGTGGAGTGTGGAGGTGAGAAGACAACTTGCAGGAGCCAGTTCTCTTTCCACAGCGTGGGCTCCGAGGCTTGGACTCACATGGGCAGGCCTGGAAGGAAGTGTGGTTTTTTCACTGAGCCAACTTACTGGTCCTTGTGTTTTATATTGAGGTCTGTAATCTAGGTTCAGTTCATTTTTATGAAGGATGTTAAAGTCTGTACAGGTTTGTTGTTTTGTCTTTTTTTTTTTTTTAATGTGGATATCCAGTAGTTCAGGGTCTTTCTTTGAAAAGGCTGTCTTTCTGCCAGTCTAATTTTTGTGTGTGTGTGTGTGTGTGTGTGTGTTACATACTCGTAAATATATATATATACCATATAAGTGGCCATATATATTATGGTTATCTTGTCTATTTAGATACTCCACTGGATATTTCCAGAGAGAAGTGCCAAGGTATGGAAGAACCAACCTCTCATAGCGGGGCATAGGAGAAATGAAAGGAAAAAACTGAAAATGCCCACCAGCCCTGGGCTCAGACTGAGCTAAGTAGTGTCTTTCCTCCTTTGGGTTGATTTTTGTTAGGTGTTTGCTCTCAGGTGATTAAAGTAACATATGCTGCATTTGTTTGTTTGTTTGTTTGTTTTTGCCAACATTAATCAGTTGTATTGTTTGGATATACTTCTGGGCTCCCTGTTCTGCTGTCCTTCCACCCCAAGGCAGATATGAGAGACAGATGCCCACACACACTCTATGTCACTCGCAAGGCAAAGGCAAGAGGATTGCCTGAGCTACATAATTAACCCTGGCTCAAACCAATCATCCAACCAAAGCTGGTGGTGTAGCTCAGTGGTGGAGCACTTACCTAGCATGGATTCAATTCCCAGCACCACAAAAGAAAAGTTTCTCAATGGCCAAAGCAGTATTACAGAAATTATCAGTCAGGACACGATCACCCTTTGACTTGTTTGAGATAGGCAATCACTATGTGGTCCTGGCTAGCCTGGGACTTGTTATAGCCCAGACTGGCTCAAGTTGATAGAGGTGTACTCACTTCTGCCTTTGGAGTGCTGGGATTAAAAGTGTGCACCCCCAACCCAAGGATTCTCTTTTTAAAAAGTTCTGTTGGTGATTCTGGATCTCTTTCCTCTTCATATAAACTTTAGAATCAATTTTCTGAGATTCAAACGATCTTTTAACTGGGATTGCCTGGAATCTGTGGATTCCAGTGGGAAGAACTGATGTGTTGGAATGCCACAGTGCTCGATAGTGAGCCAGTGAGTCTTCTTACAGAGACACTGGCATCAGCTTGCCCATATCCTGGGCACTTTGGTTTGTCTGTTGATAATCAGACTTTAGCTGGGTAGCAGACACTGACAGCCTCTCTTCCCAGCACTCAGTGAACAGGCCATGTTTTCACATCCCTGTTTTCACTCTAGGCAGAGCGCTTTTAGCTGTCTGCCATGTACTCTTTTTTCCCTTTGCCACTGGAAACAGTTTATATCTGCAACCTGTCCCTGTATCATATGTGGTTAAACTAGGTGCAGCAACAGAAATACTGGCTTTTCTGCCATCCCATCAGGACCCATTTGCTGCCAATAAAATTGGCACTTAATCCCAGGGCACTTACATTACCAGGGTATAGCCCCAGCCCACTCACTTTGTAAACAGAAACATCTGCTCTCCAGCTCAAAGTGCTCACACTGCTCACCCAAGGCAGTCAGTCATGCCCTTCCTGCATCCCTGCCCCAGCCTCTCTATCTCACGTCAGAGACTCCTCCTCTGTCTGTCATAAAGGCAGATGAAAAAAAAACTTCAAACTTCCCATCCTTATTTCTGTTCTCAAGTATTTACATAAAAGACAACAGTCTAGAGTGTGAACGCATTGAGCTCAACATTACAGATGGCAGTCTCAACAGAGACAGTATTTGAAGAAATAATGCCTGAAATCCTAAGTGTGAACAGGCTCATCCAGGAAGCAAAAGTCCCAGCGTTGACAAAGTAAGGTAGGAAAGACCAATTATTGCATACTGATTTTGTGGTCTATTAAGTGACTTACTTAAAGCACTGTCTGTACTGCCTTGGGCAAGTGTGACTTTCCTTACTACCTGGCAGTTCTTGATCGCTTGCCCACTCTACCTTGTGGTCTAGAGCATAAAGTGAGAATTCAAACTGGATATAGCACTGAGGTCTTTCAGGAGCTGTCCTGGTCCTGTCCTGGCAGCTCCTGGCGACATTCCGTCTACTCTTCACTGGTGTTGGAGTGCTTATTCCAAAACGATCTCACAACAGCATGCTAAAATCTGAGGGACTCATACTGGGATATTTAACAGTAGAGGCTATGTAAGAAAAAGAATCTTTTAAAGCCAAAGAGAAGTGACTTAGGTAAAGGGATCTTCAGTAAGACTTAACATATTTTCTGATCACAGACCACTGTGGGGAAACCCTGTTAGTTAAGGTTACCATCTACCATGTCCAGGTAGCTCCTCTGATCTTTTCCTTTATCTGAGGAAAGTCAAGTAGTCCTTGGCAAACCTACAAGTTCAAGCCCACTACACCATAAAAACCTGCACTCCAGCCAATGACTTACATTCACCCTGAAAACTACTTCCCACTCTCCAAGGTTCACATACAGCCCTTGTTTACCCCGAGTAGTGTACACACACCAGCTGTTTCACTCAATGCCATCTAAAGCTGTAGCAGTAAAATCCTTGGAGAAGGGCCTCTCCACCCATGGCCTCTCCCAGAGGATCCTGCAGACCCCACCCTTTCAGGGCTACAGTTCATCCTTGCAGCCTGGTGTGCAGCAGTGTCCAGTCATCCTGAAGGAAGAAGCAGATCACAGAACCACAGACCACTGAGGCCAAGAAATAGTAGGTTAACATTTTTAAGGTTTAAAAAGAAAAGGCTGAAAAAAGTCTATGCAGCAACAGTCACTTCAGAATAAAGGAAAAACCAAACGTTTGCTGGAAAACAAAACCTAAAGGTATTTGGTGATTCTGCATCTCCCCTGCAAAAACTGTCTAGTCCTCAAGGCTGATACGACAGTAAGTTAAAGCTATGCCAGTTAAGAAAAGAGGTAGAAGAGGGGAGGGAGAGGTGAAAAGGGACAGCAGTGACCCATACTGCAAGGTGGATCTGAGTCCAAAGCCATTGTGGTCTACTCAACAAGTTCCATAGAACAAGAGGGTGGGGGGGTATTGCTGGGCACAGACTTCTGTATGAAGTGATGAGAAAGACATACTAGTGTTTCCTACCCAAACTAGATACATTGCCACTTCCGTGTGTATGTTCAAAGCAGCGAATCTTGTTTGTGATTTGGAGTTCAACATGTACTCTGTGCATGTGTATGGGCACTAGGAAGGTCAGTAGACAACTTGCAGGACTTGGCTCTCTCCACCTGCCCACAGGGGTTCCAGGAATTGAACTCAGATCGTCAGGTTGGGTGTCGAGTGCCTTTATCACTGACACACTTCACCACTATACACTTCTTGAGCGTATGTTATACTTTGAAGATGTCTCAAAAAGAATGTGTAAAACTGGCAGAGATGGCACACATCTTTAATCCCAGCACTTGGGAGGCAGAGGCAGAGGCAGGTGGATCTGAGTTTGAGGCCAGCCTGGTCTACAGAGCAAGCTCCTGGATGGCAGAGTCACACAGAGACACTCTCTCAGGATCAAGTTTAACTAGTTTATGTAGATATTCCTAAATTAGCCAGGCCTTACATGTTTCAATTTGTGTCATTCCATTTTGAACATCTTGCTGTATTTGAACTTAGTATTTCTCATCTAGGACTTTTTTCCTGTGTATATTCATAAGTAGTATTGGTTTGTAATTTTCTTTCCTTCTCTCTTTCTCTCTCCTTCCTTCCTTCTTCTCTGCCTGCCTCCCTCCCTTCCTCTCTCCCTCCCTCCCTTCCTCCTTCCCTTCTCTCTTTCCTTCTTTCCTTCCTCCCTCCCTCCCCTCCCTCCCTTGTTCCCTCCCACTCCCTCCCTCCTTCCCTCCCTCCTTCCCTCCCTCCTTCCTTCTCTCTTTCTTTTCTTTCAGATTGGCTGCTACCTCTCATGTAACCTTTACCAGAGGCCAGGCATCCATGGCTTCAGCCTCCAAAACTAAAGCTTTTCTTTTAAAGTACCCACCTGGAGAATACAGCATTACCCAATAGACAATGAACTGGTGTGATGGTTTATGTTTAATCCCACCAGAGGTAGAGATGGGTGGATTTGAGTTAGGGGCCAATCAAAGCCATCTTTGAAAAGAGAACAGATTTTTGTGGCTTGTGAGTCTTGAGATTCCTGTCAGTAGCACCAACTTCATTGACAGCAGCAAATCTCTGTTCTACTGACTGACTGGTATGGGCTGGGCCAGGAGAAAACTCCACAGAGAGCAGCTGTACTGTAGGCCTCTGAGCTGAGGGGAAGGAAGGTTATGGCCTCATGCAAGGCAAGCACACCTTACAAGCTGTCTGTAGCACCTCTTAACTTTCATCCATAGAACTGGAAGGCTGTCAGCTTTTAAAAGAACGTCTTTAGAGATTTAACAACACGCTTGTTTCTTTGATCTTTTTTTTTAAGTTTTTTGAGACAGGGTCTCATAGCTCTGGCTGTTCTGGAACTCAGAGATGAACCTGCCTCTGCCTCCTAAGTGCTGAGATTAAAGGCGTGTACTACTACTTCTGGTGTATCATGTCTGTCTTTTAAATATTCATTATTGTATCATTATGATGATGATGATGCCAAGATTGGTGTAAACCTTCTCATATGTCTGTGATGGCTAATTTTGGTTGTTAATTTGATTACGGCTGAAGTCGACTAAAACCCAAGTTTCTGGGCTGGCCTGAGGGATTTCATTAATCAGATTATTTGAAGCACGAAGGCCCACCCTTAAATCTGGATCACAATTTCTGGTGGCAGCCCAATAAAAGGCTGTCAAAAGCAGCTTTGCTCTTTGTGTACTTGGCCTCCTTGTTGAAGACAAGTTCATTTGTTCTTTGGGCTGAGGACAGTATTATGTCCGACTTGTTCAGAATCCCAACAGAGACGAAAGACTAGCAACCTTCTGGAATTCTCTAGGACTTGAGTTCCAGATGTGACTACAGAGGCATCCAACCTTGTGGATAAACAACTACTGGATTCTCAGCCTTTCTGTCACAAGACAGCCATTGTTGGACTACAGTACCACACAGCCTGTAAGCCATGCTAGTAAGTTCCCCTTTAGTCAATATATTCTGTTCTGTTTCAGTAGAGAGCCATGGCTAATTCATGTTACAAATTCGAGGTACTGTTTTAAACTGAATCACTGTTTTTTTGAGTTGTACTTTTGTATATCAGTTCCAAATACATTGCTTTCATTCTGATTTTTTTTTCATTCTGATGGCTTTAGTCATACTACATTTATTATTAACATTTGAGGCATAGATTCTACAGAATGAGTATTTTTGCAACATAAAAGTACTTTGGAGGCATCATTAGGGAACCATTTTTAGAACACACTTATTTTGTATAAAGTACATGTTCCTTGATATGTGAAAGCTATGTCAATGATGGATGCCTTCCTCACTCAGTCTCTTACCACTTTGTTTTTAGATTTAAAGATTTTGTCTTTGGTTTTTTTGTTTTGTTT